ACAGAAGTAAGTGATAATATGGAATTAACCCTCTAAAGTCAGAATTTCATTTACTTACAAGATAAAAAGATTATTTATAATTAATTAATTTCATTAATACTGATAAATTATAAATATTTATATAAATTATAAATTAATAATTTATGAACATTTGTATTAATTATAAATTAATACTAATAAATTATGAATATTTATCTGCTTCAATTTAAAATTTGGAAATTAAAAATTATCATAATTAAATTATTTGGTACTTTATATCGTATTTAATGTCACATTGAAATTCATTCCTGGCAAAAAATTTTCGGTCAAATATAAATAATTCGAAGGTAACACTAGAACTATTGAAGTGGTTAAAATTTATAATTTTTAATTATTTGTCGAAATTTTATAAAAAAACTTAAAACAGTGTATTTTTGGAGACTTAAATGATTTTCGTAAAATGTATAAGTGTATTCTATTGTATTATTTACTTTAATGTCTCTCGTGGAAATTTTAGGCTTTAGTCATTGACAGTTCTAGTGTTAAAAATTAAAAAACTATAAAACACAATTAGATTTTTTTCACAATACATGAGAAAATAAACTTAGCAATTCCACTTCAATATTTTTGAATATTTTCGAATATTTATGTTTGATTGAAAATCTATCAGGATAGTACAACGATGAAACAATAAGCAGACTAAATAAAATTTTTGAAATATAGTCATATATAATTTTGGAGTTACGACATTATAGAGGATTAATTTTACATATATGAACGTCATAAATTATTCTATTTAATACTAGAATAACCATCAATTTAACAAATTTCAGATTTTCTTTTTTTATGATTGCTTAAAATTGATATTGATTTCTGTTTAGACAAAAACATAATCGTATAAATCTATTTGTTTTAATTGTCATCGTTTAAATTATTAAAATTTATGTGTAGAATATACTTTTGCTATCTTGAAGGTTGGTTGCTCAAGCTAATCAATTAATTAAAAAAAGATTAATTAACTATCTTCTTTCTTAATTTTTCAAATCAATCAATCATCGAGTAAACTTTGATAAACAATACTAAATATTATTACCTTATCATTAGATTATCATTAGAATTAAAATCACATAGCATCACACTGTCATACATGATTGGATTTGTATTTTTATTGACTATAGAATCATACTATCAACGAGTATAACGCACAAGTGTCGTACAAAGAGCATGAAATCATATTAACACGATTGTAAGTATAATGCAAATATATGTTCAACGATAATGCCACTTCAAATAGAAAATATCTTGCTCTTCTTAAATTAACAATCGAGGTGTCACGTAAAGAGAATGATTTGTGGTGATTCACTCTGTTTTACCCTGTCATTCACATAATCGCAGGTAATCACATTGTAATACTAATCGTTAAATGAAAACGGTGTACTTTTTTTCATTCTTTTTGAATGAATTATTCCTTTTCAACTTAATGTTGCAATGATTCCTTTCTATCTCATTTCTCTTCGTTGAATCACGTTTTAAAATTATTCATTTTTCTAGAACATAGTCTGTACATATAATATAACTGAATGCAATCTAGATCAAGAATATAATCAACAATAGAACAATAATAATTGAAAAACAGATCGAACAAATTAATATATTTATGCTTCGTTTTTGTCAGTTTACATTGAGCATTTATGTTAATTAAAACTGGCAATACAATAGATAATCTTAGTATCATGATTTTTTATTTTACCCACAAAAATTTCTAGTGTAATTATTTTTTACATAAACAAAAAAATATAAATGTAACATCGATGCTCGATTGTTGCATTAACATTATGTAGATTATTATATTCAAAAATAAATAATCATAGTTAAAATAGAAATTAATTTTTAAATAAAATATTTTTGAAATGAAGTGAAATCAAAATTTTTGTGGTGAAATTAAAAAAAAAATATATCAATTGCTGTTTGTAAAAAAGAAATGCACAATGATTTCAATTCGTGTAATACTAGTGTTACATCACGATACTAAGATTAAAAAATTTTAAACCTATAATCTTTGAAATTGTTACGTTTCTTAATACAACTACCTCTTTGAAAAAAAAGAAAGTAATTTGAGAGAGGAACATATGTTACAATATATTGAACATATTGAAAAGTAAATGAAACACAATGATTAAACAACATGGTCATTCAGCAAATAACCAGTTCTGATTGATTGTTGTACGATTTTTTCTTTTTACGAAATTATAACAATTTAAACATGAATAATTTTTGGGTGTACGATTTCAAGTGATACTCACTAGATATATACAGGGTGTTTCGCGCAATATAGACTATCTCGGTTATTATTATTGATAGAAAAGAAAATGCATCAGACTAAATCTGTTTAATGTCGAAGGGCAAATAACCTGATATTAATAGTTTTTTGATAGACGGACGCGTAGAAAATATTATGAAGTAAACTTAAAGCATAAGTCTATATACTATAAAAAGTATTTACAGTGATATATGCAGACTTGATATATTTAAAACTTTCGAAATATACGTACACAATGTAAATATAGTGAATTTTTGTTACTTTTTCATACAAAATAAGAGAATCGCATAGGATGTTAAAATTAAATATTACGAGTTAATAAATATATTTATATATGTTTTTGTATATATCGAGAAAAATTGGAGATCGTATGTATGCCGAGATTGGTAATATCATTAAATTGGTAAATATTTTAATTTTAATTTTGTAAAATATATTGCAAATGTTAGAACTCCGGTAACTATACACAATTAAGCAAAAAATTTAAAAAAAGCAATCCCTTTTTTTAAAAGAATTATTAATTATTAATTCTAAAAATTTAAATATTCTAATATTAATTAATATTATAGTTCTAATATTATTAATAATTAATTATTAATTTTAAAAAATGATTCGTGAATGTTATTTCAAGAATCACCAGAAATGCGGCAACTCGAGAAGAGGATATGTATTTTTAGCACAATTTCTGACAGAAATGAAATCATATATATGGACCATCGAATGTTTAAAATTTCAATTTGGTTTTAGTTTGGAGCTACATTCGAGACTCTGATTAAAAAAGATACAAAAATCATAGAAACGGAAGTTTAATCACTTGTGTCAATTATTCATAGTCGTACGAGATTTGATCAGAAAGATCGTGCAATTTTCAATTTTTCTGTTCTAAAAACTTCAAAGTTGAAAAATTGTTGTCTTGGCGCACTTATCTTTGATCTACTCCACTCAGAACGTAAATTCAGATCTTAATAGTCAATAAAATTGATTAAAGTGTAATTTGGTGAATTTGATGACTTTTTTTTAAATTTTTAATATATATTAAATATATATTTAATTTTTAATATATACCAAGAAAATGAATAAATTAGTACCCGGTGTAAAATTTTATAGTAATTCAAAAAGTGACACAAAATTTGTACAACCATTGCACAATATTCTTATAAAAATTCAAATTCAATAAACAACTATTTGTATTTATGACAATTTCAGAAATAAATGATACTTAGATCACATTTTTATAAATTAAGGGAATTAGTCCTGAATTTGCAAAATATTTTTGATTTGATGCAAAAGATATAATTTTTCATTTTAATCTGTTATATATTTCTCAACTTTGTTAATAATTTTTGTATATAATAATTAAAACGAAACACCCTATATTTATACCAATAATCACATCGTTCACACTTTTATCATTCACAATTTTAATTTTTATAAAATTTTAGAAAAATAATTTAAATTTGAATAGCCAATTCTGTTTATAGTATTTCTGAATGCATTCGAAGCATATCTAGAGTATATATGTTAAAGTGTATTTAAAATAATTTCGTTGCAATGATTAAAAAGTACTAGAAAAAATTTTTAGACATTTGAATAAAGCATACGTGTTTGCAAAATTATGAAAATATTAAGAAAATATTTTTCATTGCAAATTTTCATTATCACAAATCTTCATTATTATACAGGGTGTTCCCTTTTCTCATCCATTTTAATATCTTCGTTATTTCTGCTGATACGAAAAAATATACATACATACATACATACAGAACAAATGGTGGGTTATGTGATTTAAAATTTTTTCGAGTTTTCAAGATCGAGTTGATATTTTTTCAATGAGACTACGTATTTTTCTTTGTGTACATTTGCATATTATATGTATTTTTTATACAAACAATTCGTTCAGAATAATTATGATAATTATGTCATAGAGAATATAATTATTTATGATTTTATATATATATATATAAATATAATTAATTATAATTACATTCAGGGAAAATTCGTCAAAAAATAAGAATTTAATATCTACGAAAGACAAAATAATAGTGTTCGTATCTTCCTTGTATTTTACAGCTCAATAAAATTAAAATATTTTCTAATCAGTAATCACTTTCAGACACAGCTACATGATATGCTTTTTTGGGGAATAAAAAAAAAACACATTGATTAATGTATTAAAAAATATATAGTAATCCTATTTTTAAAAAATGGCATTGGTGCTGAAAACTTAAAAAAGAAAAACCCTGAGAGGAAAAATTATGGTTTAAAATATTTGTCATTCTTAAACAAATACGTAACTTTGTTACATATATATTTTGTATCAATAAAAATAACGAAGACAATAACATGTGAATAAGACAACAAGGAATACCCTGTACAAAATGACTTCTGGTCATAAATAAAAATATATCTCTGCACGTACTCGTCAATAGGCCAACATTGTAATGAATATTTATACAAAATCCATATCCCATATAAAACTTTAAATGGTATGATATTTACGAGTACTGAGATATTAATTTTATAGAAATTATATTGGATTCTTCATAAAATTCGTAGCAAATATACAATAATTGATACTATGTTTAATAAGGCATTTAATGAAAACGAAAAATATCATTTGTTATGAACTCTATTATCATGAATTGAAATGAGAATGAATGAAAGAGAGAAATAAATAAATAGATAGATAGAGAGAGAGAGAGAAATATTTATTGTTATTTATTTATAGATATTAATAACATAATATATATAATATTAATAATAAATAATTTAGTCTACAATTCACATTACGAGACATGTTATTCTATAGTTATCTACGAGAATTTTGCTACGAACTTCTTGAACAACCCAGTTACATCAAACTGTATTCAATAACTGTGAGAAATAAAATATAACATTATCAAATAATTTTCAATATCCTTCTAATCATACTTTTCAATGATATATAAATACAAAGACATATTAAAAAAAAAAAAAGACATCAGCAGAGACAAAGCAAAAAATAAATCAGAATTCTCAACCAAGAATTTGTTTCAATGAGAAAGAAAAAAAGATAATATCGAGAACTTATGCAAAAAGATTTCACAGGTAAACGAGTACTCCTAAACGCAATGCGTACTCGTTATCTTTTTAAGAGTCATACTTATCTCTATTAATCGTATTCACAGTTCATAGGATGTCCATCAGCTTACACACGTATACAAACACGCTGCAATCTAATCTGTATACAACATTCATGACGTCGGCATGAGAGATTCATTCCGTGAGACAGCCAAATGTATTCTCATCCTGCGGAACTCGAGCAATCGACACGTACTTAACGACGTGTTGCAAAAGTTGCTAAATTGTCTTCGATAGTACTGCTTTAATATCAAACTTGATACTATTGAGCGCGTTTCAATGCATATTGTATTTACGTTTCTGTTCGTGACTAACTACGAGCTGCGATAACTCATTTTCTATAACGTACTCGATACACGTGTCAAAGCATGCTTGACAGCTTACACTGGCGCGCTTGTGTAGCCGAATGTCAGGGAGCGACCACACTGCGCATGCGCCAACATGGCGTAATAAGTGACGCGCGCAAAGTTTGAAACCTAAATGACAGCTCCGATGATGCACGTGTTTCAGTAACTTCTTTTTCGCACGGAACTTCGAACGAGGCTTTTTTTTTTGTTGCTGTTGCGTTCTACATCAATGGTATGTTCCGTCGATGTTGCGACTGATTCATAAAAAGGAAATCAGGGATATGTCAACCCTGTTGTTTCGAGGTGCCCGGCGAACTCGGCTCTTGCCCGCCATTGCTCGATTGACCTGCAATTAATTCGTGAAAGTACGATCATTAATAGAATAATAATACGAATATTAAATAAGTACAAGATTAATCGTTGATAGAGTTTAATGGAATAAATAGAATTAATCGTGGTTAGACCACTATTGATTTTAATAGGATTTTGTTTAGAGAAAGTTACAATCATATTTTTTCAAATCATAAAAATGTAAAATGACAAAACTTTACGTTGAAATAATTACTAGCTAAAAATAGAGAATGATCATCTTCTGCTGGAATGCAATAAAGAATATCCCCACTCTTGCTACTTCCATTATATCTTCATATTAGTGTAACTTCAATAATGCGAGTAATGTCTCACGCATAACAAGTGAGCGAGGAATAGAGCTAAATCTGAATATTAAAAATATTTAAATATGCCTTAAAACGTCCTTTAGTCTAAAATTCTCTGGGCAAATAACTATAAAAAAATTTCAATTGATCATTGTTTAATAAAAAAAAAAGAAAGAATGAGAAATTTTGATTAATAATGAATTCGATAACCAAAAGATTAACGAACTGTAAATTAAACATTCAGAGTAACGATAAATTTCTAGTTTAGCTGCTTTTCTGAATTTTGGCAATTTCACTATTTAGTATACTATTTCTTTAATAGTGACTTTATCAATCGAAGATCGAAAAAAATCTTTTTACTTTTTTAAAAAGAAACGTCATATTAGAAAAATTATAAATCAGCAAGAATAATTAATTTACCAGAATAATTAACATGTGAAATGTAGAAAGTCTCACGAAGAAATAAAAATTTAAATTGTATCGTTAGATGTACGAAATTTTAATGTGCAATTTGCAATACAAATTTTGTCATTTCCTTTTCGTGTTATCGAAGTTTTATTTGTTCCTCAAGCTCGTTTTGTGAAATTCGAAAGAACTGGAAGATTCTTGTAAGATAGATGATTAATAATAAAATGAGTTGCTTCGTTCGTTGCAATCTCTTTATTAACAATAATAAATCATTAATATCTAATTTAGTCTATTTGATTATTTTTTATTCTTTCTAATTATTATCTTTTAAAAATTATTATTCTCTTTAAAATTTTAATTAAATATTATCTTTTTAAAATTTTAATATACAATAGACATTTTATTTATTGCACAAACTGGTAACAAAATCTTACAAATCAATCAAATGAATTATCTCTCAAAATGTTATTTTGCTTTTATCACAATGGAAATATTTTTGCTCTTTCATTATCTTTTTAAAGATTCGATTTGATCGATGAAATTGTCCAATTCAAAAGTATATATTATAATTAGATAATTAAAATAAAATAATATATATATTTATAAAATTATACAATATAATATAATATATAAAATAATAATCTTGTAATAACATAATATATATGAATAAAATAGATTATAAAAGAGTCATGAAATAAATTTCTATTACATAGTAATAAATTACATAAAATAATAATAGATATATGCATAATATATGATAATAAATAAAATAAAATATAATTAAATAATTAGATTATCTTTACTTAAGATATAATCATTATTATCATTAATATTTTATATATTTCAATTATATAATAGATTATATATTTAATATTTCATTATATCATATTCAATATTATTATTAAAATTAGATTTGGCACATGAATATAAAGAGACAATCAATACATATATCACACAAACTATAATGTTATTATTAATTTGATCTCAATTAATATCAAACACCTTAGTTCAACAATTAAATAACTGTCTACTGTATATATTATTGAAATATACAGTAACTTTAATAAGTCACATCTTTTTTTAGTTGAAACTAGAAAAATGTTACATTCATATCGACAATTATATTTCTCTTGCACCTGCATATTGTAGTTTCATTATTTTTTAAAATAGTAAGATGATCTTTTTTAAAATATAGTAAAATGATAAATGTACGTGTCTTTCACGTTTCTAAAATAATTAAATAATACATTACGATTCTATGTGTGTCGAGATTTAAAAGATTTAACAATTTGCCATCTTCCAACGTCAATATATCTTCAAATCTTTTCATCAAAAAATTATTGTTATACAATTCAAAGGTAGTGCATGTATTCAAAAGTAGTTGAATACACTGAACCTGACAAATCATGTTTTTTACATGACAGCGTAGGACGAAAGCGAAGATAAGCTACACTACACTATGCAATTCGCCGAAGAAAAGCTTATAATACGCATATGAAAATTTTGAAATCCCACTGTGTCCATTGATAGTTTGAAAGAAGACGTAGCGCGTATGTTCTCTAATCTGAATTCAAAGAAAGAGAATTTGAATTTGAAGAATTGGTAGAATCAACAATATATTCTTTCGCTCCCTCCCACCCCCCCCCCCTTTCTAGCGAAAGAATATAGATAAAGAGAATATCGGTTTTCAGAATCGATTCATACGAAACGAAGAGAAAAAGAAAGTAGAGTTCTTCATGAATTTACCGATGTAAAAGTAAATTCAATATGTACTATTTCAGAATGTTAAGAAATCAATTTTGTCAAGGAATACAAATGTGGTATTAGACAGTGGTATTATACAATAAGTAATATTTAAATATAATATAATATATTTAAAAAAATGATGAATCGGATAATACGTTATATAATATTAATTATACTAATGTATTGTATTATAATTCATTTGAGAACATTTCAATACATTTCAAAATGTGTCCAAATCTGACAGAAGATTAGGGTTGTGAAAAGAAGCTTAACAATTTTATGCATAGCTTGACTTTACTTTTCAATGGATTTTCGGCTTTCGTCCTACGACGTTATGTGAAAAACATGATTTTTCATCAAATTCAATTTATTCTGACATTTTTACTTATACAACAATACTTTTTTGAGAAAGATTCAGACATATGTATATTGAAGCTCGGAGGTAACATGTTGAATACCTTCGTACAGAGAAAATTAAAGAACAGGGGATATTTTTTAAATAACATTGAATAATAATCTTTTTTAATAACTCATGTTGTTCTACGATTTTTCCAAATAGTTACATATGTATTAGATCTTATTACGTTAATTTCATTAATCTATTATTAATTATTATTAATTTATTGTATTTATTATTTTATTAATGATATATAACATATAATATTATTGAATTTGTTATATATATTACATATTTATTATATTAATAAAATCGTAGGATTCCTTCAGCAATTGGTTAATAACCAATAAACTAATACCGAATTTATTTGAATATTATTTACAACATTTGTTGTGAAAGAAATGCGACCTTCGTTTAAAAAGACAAAGGTGTGTATTTATATTTCTAAATTTGCTATCAAATTACATTCTCTTAATAATAAATAGACTGCGGAGTCTATTTATGCATTTATAGAAAATCTGCAAGTGTAAAATTGCATGAGATAGACGTAAGATGAAAAGATATATAAAATATCTAAATATCCAATAGTGCTTTATATAATATTTACAATTGTCTTTCGAGTATCTATATTTTTAATTTTATTCTAAAACAATATGAATCTGCATAAAAATTTGCCGTCTTAAATCATTTATATATGCCAAATAACACAAAAATAGTTTTTATATATATTATATAGAATCGATGCCTGATTGTTTATCGATGCTTGAAGATTGAAAGTCTTCTTTCTAAAGCCACTTATCAAATTTTTTTGTACATTTATATTATTTAATTTATATTATTTTGTAATTATTTTTTGATGACATACGCTTATTCGAATTAACTTATTAATTAATTAATGACATATTTATACACAGTATTTAAAGATGTTTGAAAGTATTGAAATACTTTTTCGTGAGTCTGTATTATTACAATATAATACTAGAGTCTATTATCGCTTTTGCACGTGTACTAAAGCAACATATGTACACGGAATCCATGTATTCTCGAATTGAATATCCGTGTTTTTAATACACATGCAATTATGTAGTTTATCCCCCGTGTACACGGACTTAGTTATCCATATATTTTTATACAAGGATAATCCGATTAGTTCGAATTCAGGTTACATGTCTACCGAAATTTTAGAGAATCAAATTTTACAAAATTTCGGAAATTCGAAAAAATAAAGTTTTTTTAAGAATTTTTTTTATTAAAATACACAGAACATCCGTACAAATTGAAATGCAGGGGTGCATGTTGCTACATTTACGAAATAGGGATTACTCTAGTTACTACTCATATGGCTAACCTGTCTCCATCGAAAGCTTTTCGAAACGATCCGGCAAATCCAGCATTCCAGTTTTAGCGTGGCAGCCCAAGATTTGCGTCAAAGCGTTCCTTCTTCCGGTTCTCCCGGTCGAAAGGAACTCTTTTGCCCTGTCGTCGCCCTCGTACGAACCTGGGGCCCGTGCACCACGCACGTACGTCCCTGAGCCATTTTCTGTTGCTCCGGGATCCTTCGTGTCAGGTCCATTGCCGATCTCATCGGGACTGATTGGTTCCGACCGTCCCGGTGTTAGCATCTTTTTCAACGCTGCACAACAGATCAAATTGTTTCAATTATATACAAATAATTTATAAATTTATACGGAATTTATAATCCTACATAAATAAATTTATTTATATAAAATATAAATATAAATATAAATATTTATATAAAATTTATAACTCTATATAAATGAATTTATATATATATAGAATATAAATATAAATACATTTATACAGAATTTATAACTCTATATAAATATTAAGTTTCTTTACATCGATAAAGTTAAAGTTATGAAAGTTTAGCTGGAATAAAATTTGCTTTGCTAAAAGAGGGTTTACTAACAATATTACACCAAGTTAATCGTATCTCTTTTCTCTTTCATCGAAGAAATCAGTTTTATACTGCAGTAATATTTCTGTAGATAATAAATTTAATCTGCTACAATTCTACAAATGATCTTATATTATTTTTTTATTTTTTCTACAAATGATTTTATATTATTATTATTATACTATGTTTATATTTTTCTATAACATTTAATTTAATTATAGAATAAAAATTTTCTTTTAGTCTTAAATGCAATGGAAAAAAAAAAAAGAAATATTCCGCAGTCAGAAGATATAAAAATCCATTTACTAGAATCAACTGAAATTTATTAAAATTAAATGTACACGTAAAATAAATAGAAATTGTGTTTTTTTTTCTCATACACAAAACATAAGACGAAGATATTACATCCAAAAATTATATAAAGAGCACAAATTTGAAAGATGTAATGTCTTACTAGACGTGTCATGTTGCATTTTATAATTCGATAGCAAACAGTACCAGCATGCGTGCAATCTTTACCCAGGAGAATGCAGGGTGAAGCACGTAGGTGGAATTACTTTAATACCTTAATAAATAATACTGTCATATATACTGTCATAGATAATTGAATCAGATGGATTTACGCAGTGGCTCACGAAAATGTTTGAACCATAAAAAAATAATACAGGATGATTTACGTGACTCGTACACCTGAAATAACTTTTAAATTATGCGTCGAATGAAAAAATTGCTTCATACAAAAGTTGTATGGTTTTACAGGAGGTAAAATATGACGTATCAATTTTCTATGTCATTTTTATTTTTTTAAATTGCATCATATATTTTTTTCATCCTCGAGACAAATTATCATAAAATATCCCCTTAATTATTAGGTTTAGAAAGAATGTGGTTCAATACTTTTTTACTTGGAATTTAATATTCTTTCGATTTATGATGAAAAAAATATATGGTCCGATTAAAGAAAATAAAAATGACCTTGAAAATTTCGAAACCCTTCGACACACACAAAATATCGATACGCTATATTTTTTGCCTTTTTCAAAACCATACAACTGTTTTATTAAAAATTATTCATTAGACGCATAATTTATAAGTTATTTCAGGTGCGCGAGTTACGTATCACCCTGTATACATTGTGTGTACAACACATGTATGATAATTTAAAATTTCACCAGCACCGTTATGAAATAGAATTATCACGAATGTTTTCATCAAATTTTGAACCATTTTGAAATCTCATTGTCACTGCAACACAGGATTATATTGTTAAAATTATTAACTAATCTGAAAATATACATATATAGAAGTTGCAAAATATTTCTTACAAATATACAGGATGTATACGAGTTTTCAAACACTTCTGATATAATGTAATCAAAAAATGTTTCAGACAAAAATTAACCAGTCTTGCATCAATTATAAATTAGCAATAGTAAAAGTTGTTAAAAAAAATCCTTCTTCATATAAGATAAAAAAATTAAAAAACCATTTAACTTTTTTTCAAGAAGTATTATATATTAGAAGTATAGTAGAAGTATTATATGTTTTTGACTTGGTATAGTTGTAAAAGATGGACAAATTCGAAGAGGTGCAATACTATGACCTTCGAATGACCTTCAGAAATTTGGATTCGATTCAACAATATTTGAGAAATGATATAACGTTCAAAAAATAGTAGTTCAACCAAGGAAAGTTTCGCCGTATATAAAATTATTTGAAAATTTGTTTTCCTCCTCCAAAAGTCATTTCATTTTATCTAATAAAAATACTATAGTTAATACGCTGGATATAAATAAGTATAACTAAATATAAATAAATATAAATAAATATAAATAAATATAACAAAGAAATAAATAAAATACATGCAATTTTACAATATCACACACGTATAATTAATGCAATGTTTCTTCTGAAACGCAAACTCCGTGCAATGAAAATTTCCGAGAACGCATTTCAGAAACGTGCGAATCTCCTCGAGTCCAGAACTCTCGATAACAGAATTATTGAATAACAGCGCAACAGAGATACCAATTTGACTAAGAAGAATAAAGTTGAGGAGGGTAGTCGCATTTTCTATATTGCTGCTGTATTTAATCCGACTTTAATCTAGTTTAAAGCAGTTCGAGGAAGGAAAGGACCTCGATGTCGACAGAACGCGATTGCTGAGGATATGTTTCCTCTCGGATTGTCAAACACGTTGTTTCCCTTCTTTTCTTCTCAACATTACATACGTTTGTTTCTTCCATTGGGTGTAAAAAGTATTCATACAGTGACTAATCACGACTAAAATGCTGAATATTATAATATTTATTAGACAATATTTTTTAAACAAACGTGGCACATCTATTCTCCAAAGTCTGTAGAACAACAATATCAAATAAACAAAAAAAAAATATTCATATTGTTTATATAAAATATCAAACTAATGATGTCAACATTATATATTATATGAGATCAATGAATCCAATCGTAGAAAGTTCGTGTTCAGAAGCTTTGTAAATTAACTTCCTGCTCATTAAGCAGAAAGCATTTCTCTTGTTAAAAATAAACGCCAAATGTTTCATCTTATCTTTGAATTTTTATATTCGACAATTTGCAACGTTGATCGATCGCGTTGAACGTGTTGACTAACAAATATGTTTGTTAACGTTATTTGCGACGTTTTAATTTGACGTAGAATGTTGAGAATCGAGAAATGCAATATCATGGATATTAATGCACGTATTATGTAAAAATGTATAAAATATTCAAAAAAGGAATATCAATTATAATTCAATGCAGAGTAAATAATTGGCCATTTAGATTCCATTTCTTTAATTACATTCATCAAATCATGCAAATGCACAGTCTACTGATCGGTTATTAAAATATAATTTAATCGATGTGAGAGATCAATCAATTCAATCGCAGAAAGATCAGAAACTTTTTCAAAGAGTTTGTCCGATTATAAAATATTTGGAAAATTTTTAGTCAAATAATTATATTCTAAAATTTTGCTTATTCATTAAATGAAGATTCCATCTGCGAGACAATTACAATTCTTTAATTTAGAGACAAAGATTGATGCATTCTTAGTGTTCATTCAAAAATTCATTTAAAGCAAATTTAACGAAATTTAATATTTGTACGAATTGAATATTTTGTTACATTAAAAATAAATTCTATAATGTGCTATATAATATAGTTCTGGTTTACACTTCACAATCAAGTTTATTACACGAAGCAAATTTAATAAATAATACAGAACTACAGAAAGAAGAGCATAACTGTACTGATGATAATGGAAAATCATCGATAATTTAATTTGATTAGAAATTTAATTTAATTTTTACTTTTTAATTCCAATTTTTTTAATCTGAAACTCTGAAATTTCGATGTTATAACGAGAGAAGGCTATAGATATTTTTATAAATAGAAATAAAAATTAAAATTGATATAGTAGAGTCTCCAATATTTAAATATATACTCTAGTACTTAAACATTCTACTATGAATTTTCTTTAATATTACATTAGTATTTTATTATTATTTATATAATATTATATTAATATTAATTATATTTTAAATATAATATAATATCAATAAAATATAAATTATCAATAATAAATTCTATTATTACATGTAAGTATTTTTTATACTTGCAAAAGAATCTTTCTAGTTCTTTTTTTTTGATAAATGTCTAGAAAAGTCACGGATTTAAATATATTGTATATATTACACATCTAACCCAATATTACACTTGGATTCTATAAAATATTGTTATTAAATCTTATTTTTTTTATTATTATTCATAACTTATATCTTACATCATTTATTTTATTATTTGTATCTTGTATTTTCATTATTAATAAATTCACATAAATAAATTAATATTGTTTTGAACTAAACAAATGAAATAACGTGGTTAATAAGTTTAGATTGTAAATGAAACAAAAACACCAAGGTTAATAGGAATGTTAGTGTATTTACTTTTGTTAGTACTTTTGTTAGGATCAAGTAGAAAATTTAATTCGAACATCTTGAGCAAAAAAAATACCTTTTGCACGTAAGAGACGTTTTCTTTGGCAGCCTTTGAACGTGGAGTAACCGAAAACGGCAAGGTAATTTCTCCCTGCCGCCGACACTTTGCGCAGCTTCACCTAATCAAGTATTTTTCAGAATTACAACCTATTGTTTACGATGACAAATCATATTAATCCGAAATAAAACAAAGAAATGAAATGTAAATTATAAAGTAAAATAAAAAATAATTAAACATACAAAAAGAATATATAGTTAGAAAATAAAATTATATGATTATACACAATAAATAAAATAATATAATAAAAGAAAAAATAAAAAGATGATTTGAAAATTTCGAAGCCTCTCAACAAACACTGAAAAATTGATGACGCCATATTTTGCCTGTCTTGAAACCATACAACAACTTTTCGATTAAACGATTTTTCATTATGATGCACAATTTAAAAGTAATTTCAGGCGTGTATTTGTGCACCAAGAAAAGATACTTGGTCATAAACAAATACCAATCGCATTTCTTTTAAAATGTTGCAATGAACATCCCCTTTTATTAGCCAAACACGTTTATGAAAGCTAAAGTTTTTGACGGTACAAAGCACGGTACAAAGGGTTGTTTATTTCACATGCAAGCTAAACTGGAAAATGTAAAAATTCTGCTATATTTTTTTTTTTTTCAATCAAAAAACTTTCGCTAGAATGTGTACAGAATTTTCAATGTCTGCCTCCCTAACAATATATGATACTAAAGTGTTTTAAACAAACGTCAAAATTGAAATCGCAAATGCGTCACGTGTCGGCTGCTAACCACTATTTTACAAGTGACGCACAATCCCGGTGTTTGTACAATGTTATGTATATGGAAACCGTGTTATCAGAATACCCTGTTACAGGATTGTCATAATCTTTGCACCGTGTCATATGAAAACCATGTTTTCGTGTTATAAAAAAAGTTTGACTGTATCGCGCAATTCTTTTTTTTTTTTTTTTTTCTATTCGAAAATTCGCCGAATCTGGACCAATGTTCGCTCGCGGAACTGTGTGTCCACTTGACACAGTTGATCCGGTTCGAAGGACCGATGTTCACGCGCAGCTGATTTATTACGATTCGCAAAACGAAACGGACGAAAACCGTGTTTTTATTACAGTATATAAAATATACAGGGTATCCATAAAGACACTTTACAATTTCAAAAATTTATTACAAAGGCAAATGAAAAAGGTTCTTTTGAAAAATAGCGAAAAAAACTTTCTCAATCATTCAACACTGCGGACGCGTGCGTCCTAACAGCGACTTTATGGTTCTGGACGCGTAGATGTCTATTTCACGTAATTTTCGCATTACTATAATTCACTAACATTCGATTTATCATAGTTGTAGCATCAGTGTGAATCCAAATAATCAAATGATAAAACTAACCATTGATATTATTCGAAATATAAATATTACGTAGTAGAAACATCCACGCGTCCAGAACCATAAAGTCGCTGTTAGGACGCGTGTTGAATGATGAAGAAACTTTTTTTTGCCATTTTTCAAAAGAACTATTAGGTTGCGACCTATGGTTCCTTGGGAAAATTTTATCCTCGTGACAAGTAGAATACAAAGCAAAAAAAATTTTTGTCCTTGAAATTCAATTTTGCGGTAAGTTCTTTACATGTATTTCCATCAAATCGAAGATGTAGAATTCACCTATGATAATTACGGGCAAACTATTTCAAGGAAATAAAAATTAAATAGGAATTTGTTTCATGTATTAAATATTAAATAGTATTCCGTAGTGTTTGGAATCTCGATTTTTCCAAAAATGCATAAACATCCGCAATTTGTATGTTAAGAATGGTTATTCGTTATACAAATACGCAATTTTCGCAACAGTTATACAAATATACGTACACATGTCTGCAGCAGAGACGTCTTATAATTTCAAACTTCACCGTAACGACGTAACCATAATAGACGTGTCCCTCTACAATGTTAATGAAGTTCGAGAAAGTTCGTTATAACGCGTGTAATATATGTATGTATTTACAAAAGTTTCCTCTTTGGTAAAGTTGCCCCTATTCTCTATTATACGAACATTTGCTAATAATCTGACTTCGGATCATCATGCAAATTTGTATCATGCGTAACTCTAAAGAGGAAGGAATTCAAATAGAAATTTCTTCTGCTAAAAATTTCTACTAAAAATTACTATACTTCGAATATTTTTTATATATTTTTGTGTATTACTATTTCAGGCTAGAATCATAAAAATATTTCTGTTCAAATACATGGTAGAGCTGCAAAAAACATCCCCTCGTATGTCAATATCTATTTGATCCCCGAATTTTTATATTACTTTTTATACTACTTATCATTACAAATTTTTGCTGTATAATTCATTATTGGAAACTGCTACTATGTACATGATTTTTGTATATAATAAACTATTTATAAAAACAGACTTTGCTAATATAGCATTTGTTTTCATAAAGATATTGCCAAAAATTAGGTTTACTGATACTTTTTGTATATTATATATTACATAATTAATAATTATTAATTTATATTAAAATTACATAAATTTTATGATATAACAACCATACGCTTTTATTACCTTAACAACTATTTCTACTCATTTGTTATATTTATGACTTATGCGTAATATCAGCCATAAAAATGTTAATACGCGCTGTTATCCGTAACAATTTTCCTCTCTGCTTGCCACTTTACTATAATTCCGCGCTGAAAGCGGAATATTGGAAAAGATTGACTAAAAAGGAAACTCATTAATTTTTAAGCGCTTCCAAACGTGACTTGATTCGCAATTTTCGTACGTCACCCATGTGTTTTGAGATCTTTTATAAAACTGCTGTAATCAAGCTTCCAGCAGTAAATTTAATCCGACATGAAATAGGAAGAAAACGTAATTATAACTTTATGCGAACAACGTCTGTGACACTTTCATTCTTTGAGAAGTAATTTTCACAAAACCTGGCATGATGAATTTAAAATAAAATAAAATAAAAAAAAAAAAGGAAGAAAACAACATAGGAAAAACTGCATTTGAAACGTGATCTTGATGTTTTCAAAACATGATGTCTTTGATCTTATAGAAGTATTTTTCATGAAAATTTATCTCAAGGAAAGCGAACTCTGATTCTTTACTTCTGAATAAAGATGGGAAATTAGAAATTTGTTTGAAGACTATCCATCTGGTTTGTAAACTTTCTCGATTCATGAATTCAACATCTGTAAATCACTGATTTTTTTTTTTTTTTATTGTTTGCAAGATTCGAAGAAAAAGAAAGAATGAAACTTTATATGAGAAACTACAATTGTAACTTTTGTTCAAAGTAAAATGTAACTTGCGTTTAATTATTTTTTGGAATATATACTTTCATTTTTATAAGAAATGTTTGTAAGATATTGATTCGTGTCATCACGAATTCTTAAATTTGTAAAATAATAATTTTTAAAAAGAATATTTAATAAAACGTTAAAGAAACTTCTTATTAAAATTTAATTGAAATACGAAACAGTTGGCAACAACATGTTCCAATTAAACAAATATTATTACATACGACTGCAATATTCAGCTCAAATGAATTTTATTTACTTTTATATACTTTATAATATGTTTTTTTGTAATTTTTTAATATCTGGAGATCAATATTATACGTGTTTATTCTACTCAATTCGTATTTATTCGTATAATCAATTTACTCAATTTAATTCAATAAATTTTCACGAGAAAATTTTTGAAGGAACATAAAGGAGAAAATTAAAAATTAAATTAAATTAAATTAAATTTTTATAAAAAATTAAATTGAATCGTAAAATTTTATCTTCTACCAACAAATTTGCTCGTTTTATAATTCCAAGAAAATTTCAATCTTCTATATTTTGTTACCAAGTTACTATTTACGATATTAAAAAGCTGTCGATCATTTCAATCAAATTGCTAATAATGCAACAGTATGTATAATAACACTGAGAATTATCATAACAATATAATAACAAGTATAAATTATTACAATAATTAACACTTATTAATAAATATATAAAACAATAAATAATAAATAATTGTAAGTTACATTTAATACAATTATCTTAAAAGTTTTAATAATTGTAATAAATAAAATTTATCATGTAATAAATTTCTTGAGATCTAGGGCAATAAAATTAATTAAAACTGGAACGCAGATAATACAGTTTATCCATTCGAAAATTTACACAAATACAAAATTTGATTAATAATGACAAATAATTTTAAAGAATGCAGTTATGGAAAAAAGAAAAAAAGAAAGAAAATATTTGCGAAAGTAGTTGTTATCATCGAAGGACTTACGAGCCAATGAATATTTACGCTGAATAATAAGCAAAGAAAAGTTAGGTCAAGCATTCTTCTGCTTAAATAAAGCCAAACGTAGAATTTATAAATGAATTTAAGAATTGAAAACAATGTATGATAATGCATGAAACTATTCCATTTCTCATACAAGTTATAAATTTAATATTTATATCATTCTTTTCTGTTTCTAATTACGACGTAAAATATGATAATTTAAGATTTAAGCAAACTTCATTTCAAATGAAACTTAAATATAACTCACATGTAATACGATATAATAATAAATAAATAATATATTATACATTAAAAATATATCTTCTTGATTCTCAAATCGATCCTAAAGATTTTGATGAAAGAAAATAATTAAAGAAAAAAAAAAAGAAAAGTTTTATCCATTAAATTCATGTCTTTAGCAAACGTATTTAATATTACCTGCAAAGTTCGCCTAAAAAGAATTAAATGCAGACACCTGCATGAAAAATACAATATTTTTTTTATTTCGATTCAAACTCCCTCTCCCGGTTTTATTTGATATTTTTATAATAAAATGTTTTTCTCGAACCACGGGCTTTTATTTTTTCACTCGTTTTCTAGCTTATCCGTCTTTCTGCCGCCTACTCACCAAGCTTTGTAACTTCGTTTCATTTGCGCTTGTTTATTAACGATACATCTGCTCCAACTCGAAAACATTCAGCGCAATTCAGTTTATCATCAGATTCAATTTATTATCAAATTCGACATAAATATCACGCATAGTTAATGCAGTTGTTTATGATATATCGTTA